CTTCTTTGATGTTCTTAGGCTCTATGCATGAAATAAATGCAACATAATTACAGATATTTCTAAGAGAAGATCGAGTAGTTACCCCTTTTGATGGATCACCTATAATTTCACCATCCTTGACATAATTGTACTCTCTTGGAAAAGATACTTCCCTTTCTTCAATGGTTGGATTCTCGAGGGGATCATGAGTTTCATCATCTTTTGTTTCTTCCTTTGATGATGATTCTCCAACGTCATGTCTAACGTCATTTGCTTGTACAATACCTACATCATCATTAACAGAAGAATCCTTCCTCGGAAGGGGATTATCATCGAAAACAACATGTATAGACTCTTCTACAACTAAAGTTCTTTTATTAAATACACGATAAGCTTTAGAATTTAAGGAATAACCCAGAAAAATTCCTTCATCACTTTTAGCATCAAATTTACCAAGATTTTCTTTACCGTTGTTTAAAACAAAACATTTACATCCAAAAGGATGAAAATAGCTAATGTTAGGATTTTTATTTTTGAGAATTTCATATGGAGTTTTCTTTAAAATTGGCCTAATCATTGCTCGATTTACAACATAACAAGCGGTATTTGTGGCTTCCGCCCAAAAATATTTTGGCAAATTATTTTCACAAAGCATGGTTCTAGCCATTTCTTCTAAAGTTCGATTTTTCCTCTCAACAACTCCATTTTGTTGAGGGGTTCTAGGTGCTGAAAAATTGTGGCTAATACCATTAGAATTACAAAACTCAATAAATCCAAGATTTTCAAATTCAGTTCCATGATCACTTCTAACACTAGTGATAGAGTAACCTTTTTCATTTTGGATTATTTTTGAAAATGTGATGAAATTTTCTAATGCTTCATCTTTAGTACTTAAGAATAGAACCCAAGTGTATCTAGAATAGTCATCTACCAAGACAAATGCATATTGTTTTCCTCCCAAGCTAGTAGTTCTAGTTGGCCCAAAAAGATCTAAATGGATCAATTGTAATACTCTACTAGTTGATACATCATTAATAGATTTAAAAGAAACTCGTTTTTGTTTTCCTTTAGCACAAGCATCACAGATTTTATCATTATCAAATTTAAGCTTAGGCAACCCTCGAACTAAATCACCTTGAATTAGCCGTTGCAAAACACTCATACTAGCATGTCCTAGTCTCCTATGCCATAACCAACTATCATGTTCATCCTTAGCAACTAGGCATAAATTAGTCATATCAATAGAATCTAAATGCACCATGTAAATGTTTCCTATTCTATGACCAATAAGCATAATCCGATTAGATGCAATGTCAATAACTTTACAACCATTAATTTCAAACAAGACATTGAATCCCTTATCGCATAATTGACTAATACTTAATAGATTATGCTTTAATCCATTCACATATAAAACATTTTTAATTTGTATGGAAGAGGTATTACCTATTGTACCAATACCTTCAATGTGACCTTTTGAATTATCACCAAAAGTCACTTCTCCTCCATTTTTGACGTTAAGCTCTATGAACCGGCTTTTGTCTCCGGTCATGTGTCTTGAGCATCCACTATCAAGGTACCATGAGTTTGAATTTGTTTCCCGTGCCTTGTAGCAATGCTCCTTTCCCTACAAACATAGATTAATTTTTGATTTTTGGTACCCAAATTCTTTTGGGTCCATATTCATTAGTTTCCAAAATCCTAGTTCCCTTAGGTATCCATTTGTGTAGGATATCTTTATCTTTAGTAGTATTGAGTCCTTTAGGAACCCATATACTTCTAAAGATTTTACCATTTAAGGTTCGTTGAGGATTTATATGATTGTAGTTTCTAAAATCTTTTCTAACAAAGTTGGATTTTGAATTTTCTCCTTTTTCAAAACGTTTTGTTCCAACTTTATCAAAAGAAGTTTTAAGATCATCAATTTTCTTTTGATGATCATCATTGACCTTTGAAAGTAAATTTTGCAAATCTAAATTTTTCTTTTCAAACTCTTCTAGTTTGATTTGCAAATCTTTGATTTTACTTTCAAGATCATTGTTGGTTTTGGATATGAGTTTATTTTCATTTTTCAACTTTGAAACATCATTTTTATATTTTAAAAATAATTTCTCATAGTCCGAAGCCAACCCATTATATTCCTCTAATAGCTCATCATAAGATAAATCATCAAAATCAGATGAGTTAGAGGTTACCTTAGAATCTTCCCCAAATGCCATTAAGCACAAGTTTGCTACTTCTTGTTCTTCTTCATCGGAACCTTCTTCATCGCTCCATGTAGCCACATGAGCCTTGTGCTTATTTTTTGATTGACCCTTTTTCTTCAATTGTGGGCAATCATATTTGACATGCCCCGGGTTTTTGCATTCATAGCAAATGATTGGGTCCTTCTCTTTTGGTTCATTTTTGAGGCCTTCGTTTCGTTTGAATTTTCTTCCTTGGTAAGGTCTCATCATTTTTCTGAATCGTTTGGCAAACAATGCGATTTCCTCGTCATCATCATCATCATTAGAATCACTCTCATCTTTTGTGGATTTGAGAGCAACTCCAATGTTTTTCTTCTTCTCCTTCTCCTTTGGTGTCTCTTCAACTTTATCAAGGTCCACCTCATCTTCAAGCATCATCTCATGAGTGAGGAGTGAACCGATAAGTTCTTCAAGAGTTAAGGACGATAGGTCCTTAGACTCGATGATTGTCGTCTTCTTTGATTGCCATGATTTTGGGAGAGAGTAGACTAACTTCCTCACAAGCTTTTCAATTGAGATGATCTCTCCATATGATTTGAGACCATTGACAATCGTTGAAAATCTATCCGTCATAGCTTTGATGTCTTCATTTGGTTTCATCCTGAAATTTTCATAGCTATGCGTTAGAATACTAATTTTTGATTTCTTTACCTCATCGGTACCTTCATGTGTGACTTGAAGCTTGTCCCATATTTCTTTGGCGGTTGTACACGATGAAACTCTTCCGTATTCATCTGGTCCAAGAGCACAAAAGATAATATGGATGGCTTTGGAGTTGAGCTGGAACATTTTTGTATCTCCTTCACTCCACAACCTTGGATGAGTGATAGGCTTAATGTATCCTTCTTCTATGGCATTCCATGCTCCCATGTCACTTGCTTGAATGAAGTACATCATTCTATTCTTCCAATAGGCGTAGTTAGCTCCATTGAAGAAAGGAGGCTTGTTGACGGGCATCGAATCGAGACCGGAGTCGAAGTTTGAAGCGGAGGCCATTGATGACTTTAATAATCGATATAACTCTTCCCGAATCGACTCAAGAGGCGATAAAACCTTCAAATGAGTTAGGATTTGATGCCAATTGTTGAGTTAATCGAATGACGAAATTGGCCAAGAGGGGGGTGAATTGGCAATAAAAAAAATTTGTGGAAGCTTTTGCAGAAAATTGAAAGTAATTGCACAGCGATTTACAGTGGTTCGACTTTCTCAAACAAAGTTTACGTCCACTACCTTAGCTATCCACACTAAGGATTTTCCAACAAATTCACTAATTTGTTCTTTCTTTTGAGGCCAAAGAGATAACCTTACAATTCCCTCAAGAGTATACCCCAACTCTTGAGAACACTCTTTTCTCAAAGAGAAGATTACAAATTTGCAAACTTACAAGAAAACCTCACAAGGTAAGATGTTTGCACAATTCTAAAACAAAGAAAAGAACACTCAAAGATGAATACAATTGAGCACAAAAAGTGTTCTTGAAAGCAAAATGAATATTGAATGAAAATAGGCTTGAAATGCTCAAACTTGAGGTTTGATGCTTTCTCTTTGATTCTCTCTTGATTCTAGTTGCTTGATGTTTCTTATTTGATCAATGGCTTCTAAGCTTGCTTAAATACACCTTGGATCACTTCTGAACGTTGGGGATGATTAGAGAAGATATTATAGCCGTTTTAGTGTGAAAACATTTAATAAAACATCTTGGAGCGTGGGGGGAATCGGTTCCCTCTCATAGGGAATCGGTTCCCTAAGTGTAAAATTCAAATATTTCGACCGTTGAACAGGGGGAATCGGTACCCCCTTGGGGGGAATCGGTTCCCTCCGAGCATTCTGGAAATCTCGGAGCCAAACCATTCAGGGGGAATCGGTTCCTCCTATGGGGGGGCATCGGTTCCCTCTGAGCAATCTGGAATTTTTGGCTTTGAATTGGTTCGAAATACTTTGTAAAATTATTTTGAAATTGTTTTTATGATTAAAACTTAATTTTACACTTAAGTAAGGATCAAAAATGATTTTTGAAATATTTGGAGTAATGTTTTGATATTCGAATAGTTATATCGAATATACTTAGAAAATCATTTGGAAAATCTTAAAATCCATTTAACTTAATTTGTTATATCGAAATATTAAAATGTTTCAACACTTTGCAAGACCCTTTTTATTACAACACATCAGATTCATTTTATTTTGTAGACAGGGCTAGATGAACACAAAACATGTGGTATTCTTGATACCCATTACGATGCAACATTTATGAGAAAGACTGGGAAGCAGCAACAATGTTCTAAAGTCAAAATGAAAAGTAAAAGTGCAAACTGAAGGATAAGAGATAAGCTTACATTCTTTGTTTAGCTTACAAAACAAAAATAAGTATAACATTAACCATCAAAATCAACAACAATGTTTAGACTTGCAAAAGATAAAAGCCATGACATTCTAAACTTAATCATATATGTTGGCGATATTATATACACAAAAAATTCTTCAGTTAAAGAGCATTGAGAAATTCCTTAAAGGATTGCAGCAACCGATGCAACAAAGATGTGCCAACAATTGAGTTTGACTTTAAAAAAGCTCTCCTTTTTTTATACGGTAATTTCTTGAGATCTACAACGGTTGCTCTAAGAATCTTGAAGCAATTAGAGATTCTTCAACAAACTTATGAAGTATAGAAGAAAAGGTATTATAGATTTTTGTGACGTGCTCGTCTCTGCATATACGAACTTCATAAGCAGATGAACTTAGAGAGTCAATCCCAAATTCTGATCTTGCAATGCGTCATTGCTTATCCCCACTTTGCCTCCCTGGTAAAGAGATCGGAGCATCATCAGTAGAAAGTAAATCTCTGTCTAGAGCTTCCATTTCAATTTTATCACAGTCTTCCAATACTGAAAGAATTTGAGATGTAAAGTTACTCCGGCATTCTTTGATCATTGAAGTGAGAACAGACACCAGAGAGGACTCTCTGGTAATGGTTCGTCTAGACAAGACCTAAAAAATGGTAATGAACAAAAAGATGAGTTTGGGGAAGAGAATCATGTTTCTTCATAACAATGCATAGATAAACAATACTAAGAATAAGAATAAATAAGCATTATAGGCAATAAAATGCTATTTTTTTATCATAATTACCTCATTCCAATTCCATGTGTAACGTTTAGTGACATCATAAACTCCATCTTTTGCAATAGCAATTACATAATTTAATTTCTTTTTCCACCTGTAGAAAGGAAGCATTTACTATAACTGTAGTATCAAAACAAAAACAAAATATTTTTTTCCTGAAAAATGGATAATATCACAAATTAGAGTTCCCTTTTTCATATAATAGCGGTCTGTCATAGATTGCTTTACAAGGATCAAGATGCATCCACCTGTACAAAAATGAATGAATAATTAGTTCGTGAAATGACCATATAGTTTAGTCTCTTTGCTACATAATAGGGATCCTTCCCAATTGAAGATTAAAAGGCATCAATTTGGTTTTTTTTACCTTCCCATGGCTTCTGAATAGCACTCTGTCCAAACATGGTCTGTAAAATCAAGGACCTGAAAATAAAGAGTTGGTGCAAAAACATCATCTCAAGCAAGCAAATTATCCGAAGTCCCATGGAATGTCATCTTTAAACTGCTAGAGCTAATTAAAATGTATGCAACTATGCACGCATTTACTATTAAAGTACACAATTCTATATACATTCCATGCCACCGTAAATATTGATTTCATATATTGCAAAATCAATAACTTCAATTTATACAATTAGCATCAAAGGAACCAGTGAACCACTCATTTATAAAGCAAAAAATGGGTTTCATTTACAATGTCAAAGACATCAAAATATTATACATAAACAAACATACCATTTCAAAATTCTTTAAATCTATCTTGAACATGTTCTTTGTTTGGCAGACAATACAGAATCAAAATAATCCAGGTCAAACATTGTCCTAATATCAAATAAAAGGTTTATCTTCACTGAATTTCCAAATTCTTCTATTTAGTGGACTAGATATTACAGATATATTGTCATTAAAAGCTTCAGATCGAAAGAATAACAATTCCAGGTCCATATATACCACACATATATATTGCAAGTACAGCAGTCAAAACAAATTTATTTCTTATTATAAATTAGCTTAACCATATTCTTTTTAACGATAGAAAGAGTTGTGTTTTAGTCAGTTGGATTTGGAAGATGAATTGGCATATAAATGACTAACCAGACGAGAGTCATAGCCAAAAGCACGATAGTACAATGTGAAGCAATTGACCCACTCTCCACAATGCCCCTTTCTTGTTTCTACAAGTTGCAAAAAAGAAATGGAGAAAATTCAACAATTGATACTTGAACCCCACACACAAGGAAAAGAAAAAAGAAGATAATGGTAGAACGAAGTATTACAGCTTCATACCTTCAGTGGGTCATTGTAGTAAGGGAACCGTGTAACTCTTGAACAAGAGTTGCAACTGCAGTTTTTCACCCAAGAATTAACTTTGCTTTCTAACAAACAATTATCAGAAACCAAGTTATGATGTAAATGAAACAATTGAGAGAATGAGGCTCAACCAAGACTTATCAACCTCCTGAATTCTATTCAGGTGATGTATCAAGACTTCCATTTAACCCCCAAAAAACCCACTAAATAATGGAAGGATAGGACATGATGCTAGGAAAATAACTCAAAATAACCACTGAGAAAAATGATTAGTTACGTTTAATGAAAATAACTCAAAATAACCCTAAACCTTTGTTTCCCTAAACCATAAAAAGAAGCGAACAATTGTTTCCCTAGACCATGAAAACCCAATTTTCAAATTCAACCATCAAGTTGATGAATCAAACGAAATAACTAAACTCGAAACCAAATACCCATAAAAGCCCAGTTCAAGATCGACTGCTAGACAAGACAGAACTGAGAAGACAAAGATGGAGGAGTAACCTTTGAATAATAGAAACGCGTGGAGTTAATAGTACTACTGGGGAGGAACAAAAACTACAAGTAGGGAGAGAGAGAGACAAACCTAGCAACAGATTAGCAGATAGAGCTAGAGCACCACAGAAGAAGTCCGTTAGAGAAGTAATAGACAGATCTTCGCAACTCTTGCCAAATTGAAGAAGAAGAAATTTTGTTTTAGCCAGAACCAAGCTAACGGGGAGAAGGGTATTTTAGCCAACAGATGACGGGTATAAACAAATACCTAAGGGAGATGTGGTATTTGGATACCCAGTTGAACAGAATAAAAAATCCATTGTTGGTATTTAGTTTTTACCCTCACTTGAGAATATGGGCTATCCAAACATGGGTATCTTAATCTGGGGGGGAAATTCCTCCCAGGAATGAAGAAATCTGTGAACCAAACGGGTTGTTAGAGTTAGCCACTTTATTAACCAGGTTATCCACTGTACGATCAATAACGAGTCAAAGAACGGATCCTTTCCGTAGCTTATATGCAACCCCCACCACTCCAAGAAAACTAAATTCTGGGAAAACCTTTGCATCTTCTCGAGAACCTTCAATAAGTCGTGGTTGGTTGTGGGTGACTTCATCGACATTGATGTCAATGATGAATTTGAAGGCAGTGCGACGGATTACACACACCGTATTATCACCTTTCGAGAAAGATGGGATAACTGTAACCTTTTAGATGATGGTTGTGTTGGTAACAAATTCATCTTGACCCGTAAAAAACATGGGAAGGTTATTCTCCAAGAAAGGTTGGATAGGGCACTCTACAATGCTAGTATGGTAACCTCTTTTCCCAATCTTTGTGTCTTCTACCTCACCCGCATCCAGTCCGACCATAACCATTAACACCAATGTCACCCAACAAGTTGACAAAACTAAGAGACCCTTTAGGTTTGAAGCTGTCTGGCTTACACATGAAGACTTCCCAACTGTTTTCAAACAAGCCTGAGATGAAAAGAAAAAGTCTCTTTTAAGCGGTGGAGGTAACTAAAAAGAAAATTATGATCTGTAAAGAAACCATTTTTGGTGATATTTTCAAACGCAAGAAGACTCTCATGAAGCGTATTACTGGTATCCAAAACTCACCTAATTACTTCTACTCTACTTACCTCCAAGATTTAGAGAAATTCCTCAAAGATGAATACCATCAAACTCTATCTCAAGAAGAAATCTTTTGGCTTCAGAAATCTCTTCTCGACTAGATCCTCAAGGGATAACGCAATACCAAATTCTTTCATCTCTCAACCCTAATCAAACATAAGTGTAATAAATTCGTTGGTTTGTACGTCAATAATGATTGGATAATGGATAAAAACACCATTTGTAACCATGTAGTAAGCTACTACAAAAGTCTTTTTTATGAGAAACTCTACCAGAACCTCTCTAAAGATTATAACAGCTTCAAATCCCTTGTCTTTGAAAAGGAACAATCCAATATGACTAAACAGGTAATGATGAAAGAAGTTTGGTCCGTACTTTTCGATATGAAAGGCTTAAAAGCCCCAGGACCCAATGGAATACAATCCGTGTTTTACAAATGACACTGTGATATAGTTAAAAAAAACCCTATACAGTTTTGTTAACTCCACCATGACAAGAGGTAACCTCGATCCATAAATTCTGAAATCTTTCATAGTTCTCATATCGAAATCTACATCAGCAAACAGAATTACCAAGTACCGCCCCATTAGTATCCTCAACATTTCTTACAAAATCTTCTGTAAAGTTCTAGTTCATCGCCTTAGACCAGTCATGCAAAAACTAATTGGACCTTACCAGAGCAGTTTTATAGCTAGCAAGAGCTCAACTGACAACATCTTAATCGTCTAGGAAGCTGTACAACTATGATGAACATGCAAGGACAAAAAGGTACCTTATTATGAAAATCGATCTTCGCAAGGTATTCGACAATGTGAATTAGCTCTTCTTCAGTGAAACCCTTCGAGTTTTTAACTTCCCTGAGGAGACAATTAGACTCCTTATGGCTTGCGTCCAAACCTGCATAATTAAACCACTCTGGAATGGTGAAACAACCGAGAGTTTTGCATTCAAAAAAGGCTTACGTCAGGGAGACCCTTTTTTGTTACGGAATATGACTATCGGATAGAGCAAAATCGCAACTGATAATTTAAAAAAATAAAAATGAAGATAAAGAAGACACAAATTTTACGTGGAAAACCCCTAAATAATATAGGGTAAAAACCACGGACAAAGGTAGAAGAATTTTACTATGAGAAAATAGGAATTACAACTTCAAAAATGAGAAAAAAAACTCCCAAGAAAACTCTATAAATTCTCTAGTATTAGGAGAAAGCTAGAATGATTTGGGATGATTTTGAAGCTAAATGGGTTATGGTATTTATAGTTGAAGCTTAAGGACTCATCTTCTAAATACCATAAAGTGTAGGGACTAAATTTACAATTTTCCCATTACCCAATTTCAACAAAATCAGTTATTTTTTTTCAAAATTTCGGTGTGCACCGAAAGCCACCAAAAACTTTGGCCAACTTGTTGATTTTCAACAATTATTGCTTGACTTTTCAACAATCTCTCACTTGAAGATTTGATTGGAATAATCATATCTTCACACCATTCTTTCTTCCTTGTACTATTCATGTTGCTTATGTCTCTGACAGGCCACAAGAGGATCGACACCAAGTAAATTTATCGGCATTGGCCGCATTTGTCATGAAATCTGTTATGTTGTCTTTGGTATGGATCTTCTGCATATATATATCATCCCTTCTTCCACCTTTTCACGATTAAAATAGTACTGAAATCGTATGTGTTTTGTCCTTGAATGAAATGTTGGATTCCTTGCTAAATGCAAGGCGCTTTGACTATCATAAAACATAGAGATATACCCTTGATTGTGCCCAAGCTCCTCCAATAGCATCTTCAACCAGATTGCTTCTTTACTGGCTTGTGTAGCTGGTACATATTCTGCTTCTGTTGTGGATGTAGCCACACAACTGATTGCAATTTTGAAACCCAACTTACAGCTCTACCAGCAACTTTGAACACATATCCTGTAGTAGATTTGCTTTTATCCAAATCCTCTACATAGTCATAATCGACATACCCATTGATAAGTAAGTTTGATCCTCCGTAACATAATGCAATATTTGAGGTCCCTTTGATGTATCTAAGAATCCACTTTACTATATTTCAATGCTCTTTGCCTGGATTCGCCATGTACCGACTAACCACTCCTACTGCTTGTGCAATGTCTGGTCTTGTGCATATCATAATGAACATTAAACTTCCCACTGTCAATGCATACGACACTCGAAACATCTCTATCCTCTCTTCTTCACTACTAAGACTCATACTGGAGGATAATTTGAAGTTAATAGGAAGAGGGGTAGAAATTGGCTTACAATCTTGCATGCTGGATCGTGACAAGATTTTCTTCAAGTAATTCTTTTGTGAAAGCCAAATATTCCTATTACTTCTGTCTCGGTGAATTTGTATCCCTAGAATCTTGTTTGCTGATCTCAAGTCCTTTATTTCAAATTTCCTAGCCAGTTGTGCCTTCAATTCTTCAATATGATCTTTGTTGGGTCCTGCAACCAACATGTCATCCACATACAACAGTAATATAACAAAATCGTTATCACCAAACCTCTTGAAATAAGCACAAGGGTATGCATTAAGCCTGTTGTATCCAAAGCACATAATGAAGGAATCAAATCTCTTATACCAATACCTTGGCACCTGCTTAAGACCGTACATATATTTGTTCAACCTGCAAACCAAGTTCTTCTTTTCTTTTTCTTCAAAACCTTTAGGCGGGAGCATATAAATCTCTTCTTCAAGTTTTCCATAAAGAAAAGTTGTTTTAACATCTAGTTGCTCTAGATGTAAGTTCATGTAGCACACATTTCCAAGACTACTCGAACTATTGTTAGTCAAACCACAGGAGAAAAGATTTCATTGAAATCAATACCTTCTTTTTGAGCATATTCTTTGACCGCCAGTCTTGCACGATACCTCTCAATTTGATCGTTACCATTTCACTTGATTTTGAAGACCCATTTGTTATCAATTGGCTTTCTTCCTTGTGGTTATGGCACAAGGTCCCATGTATTATTTTTATGAAGGGTTTCAATTTCTTCTTGCATCGCCATCATCCATAGTGAAGCATCTGAGCTGTTTATTGCCTCCTGATATGTTGATGGCTCACCGTCCTCTGTTAAAAGACAGTATGCAATATTTCTTTCTATAACATAATCTGAGTGCCAATTGGGACGTCTTCTCACACGATTTGATTGACGAGTTGTTGGAGCTTCAGAACTCTCTGGTTCTTATTCATCATGTGTTGGTTCTGCTTCAGAAGAATATCCTTGTTCAAACTCCTTTTCCACATCTATCTGTGTAGTCTCTGACTTTTCAGCGATATCTTCGTCTTCTTTTCTTCATAGTTTATCTTCTACAGAGATAACATCCCTGCTGATGATCACTTTGCGGGCAGTGGGATCCCACAAGCGATACCCTTTTACTCCATCAGAATACAGTTTTGGTGAGATGATCTCATATCATTCTAGTTGTCTTCTTCTCCTCGATATCTGACAATACTTCATCTGTTAATGCTAGATGAAAGTTTTCCATAGTATTCCCGTCAATTTCGATCCATTTGTTGTCATCTTTAAAATCTATCGGCCTTTCACTGATAGCTGCTAGACAACCGTCTTTCCTCAGGATGGCTTTCATCTTCAATTTTCACAATGATAAATTTCTCCCATTGAACTTTTTAATATCAAATTTTGTTTCGATAGCTTCTATTATGAATAGCTCCCACTATTTCACTATCGTGAATAGTTCTCTGGAACCTTCAAAGAATGGGTAATAACTTTTTACTTTATTATGTTGGATGATCCATCTTTTGGTGGCAACCACAAAGATAATAAGTAGATATTACACACTCTAATCTGGCTCTTATATCAATTGTTGCGGAATACGGCTATCGGATAAAGCAAAATCGTAACTGATAATTTGAGAAAATAAAATGAAGATAAAGAAGATACAAATTTTACGTGGAAAACCCCTAAATAATATAGGGTAAAAACTACGGGCAAAGGTAGAAGAATTTCACTATGAGAAAATAGGAATTACAACTTCTCTCGATCTAACAAGGAGAAAACAATAACAGTTCTCTCTTGATAAAAAAGAGAAAATAACTCTCAAGAAAACTCTCTAAATTATCTAGTATTGGGAGAAAGCTAGAATGATTTGGGATGATTTTGAAGCTAAATGGATTAGGGTATTTATAGTTGAAGCTTAAGGACTCATCTTATAAATATCATAATGTGTAGGGACTAAATTTGCAATTTTCCCCTTACCTAATTTCAACAAAATCAGCTATGTTTTTCACAATTTTGGTGTGCACCAAAAGCATCGAAAACTTTGACCAACTTGTTGATTTTCAACAATTGTTGCTCGACTTTTCAACATTTTCTCCCTCCTTATTTATCCTGGTCATGGAAAGACTATCATATATGATCCTTGACCACAGAGAGAATGGTACTTGGAAGGCTCTTAAAACCTCAAGGAATAACCCTAAAATTAGTCACTTCTTCTTCGCGGATGACTTGCTACTCTTCGTGGAAGCTAACATGGAACAAATCACTTACATCTAGAACTGCCTCAATGAGTTTAGCCAAGCTTCAGGTCTATAGGTGAACTTACAAAAATCCAAACTATTTATTTCCCCCAATATAAATCCCATTACGACAAATATTCTAAGCGAAACGTGTAACATTCCCCTAACAGACGACTTGGGCACTTACTTGAGAGTCCTAATCATCTATACGAGGTTAAATACATGACCTATTCCCTGTTGTTCGACAAGGTGATGAACAAATTATCTGGATGGAAGGGAAAGGTTTTCTCCATGGCAAGAAGGAAAACTCTAATCCAATACGTGACAACGGCCATACCGGTCCATACAATGCAAACCACGATGCTGCCTTCGGGAATCTACAACAAAATCGATAAAGTTAACCGTAACTTCCTTTGGAGTGGAGGAACCACCTTTTCCCACAATCATTTGGTCAATTGGGACAAAGTCTACACTTTTAAATCCCTAGGTGGTTTGGGTCTCCGGAACATGAGGTTTATGAATCAAGCCCTAATGGCCAAAAATGGCTGGAAGTTGTTCACCAGACAAGACTCCCTATGGTACAAAGTTTTCAAGGACAAATCTTGAAACAAAACATCATCTTCAAAGTCACCAAACAGTCAAATAGCTCCTCTACCTGGAAGGGCATCCTGAAATATAGGAAATTGCTTAAAAAAGGCTGTAAAGGTCCGGTCAATCCAACAAGTCAACTTCTGGCATGACTGGTGGGTTGGAGTGGCGCCACTCATCATGACTCATCCAGCCATGGAGGTGATCACCAATAATGATAAAGTTGCTCACTTCATTATTGAGGACAAAGAGTGGAACCTTCAAGAAATTCATAACGCCTTATCAGAATCCTCAAGGAATCAAATATATGGCATCCCTATCCCAAATACCATCGCCACTCAAAAACATGACAAGGTTACATGGAGACCTACCAAGGATGGTAAGTTCACTGTTGTTTCTGCTTTCACTACAATAAAGAAAATGGAAATGAATGAACAAGCTGCAGGAATGTTCAATTTGATTTGGAAAACCAAAGCCAAAGAAAAATCAGATTCTTCACGTGGTTATGTGTCTTCAACAAGCCTAACACAAATGAGAATCGAGCCAAAAAGATGATGACCTCAGACGTGAATTGTAAAACCTGCAACGACCTAACCGAGTCAATTGATCACGTCCTCCGATCCTGTCCAATTACAAACCAAGTTTGGACCGAGCTAGAAGCACACCGATACGATGACAACTTCTACACAAGAGATTTCAGAGATTGGCAAAGAATGAATGGTCGTTCTAGTAAAGCAACTAGAGAAGATCTTGAGTGGGGTACCCTCTTCCTAACTGCCATCCGGGGCCTCTGGAAAGAAAGAAACGATATGGTATTCAGTATTGACAAATAGGAGAAGGCCCCCAAACCACATAATTAAATGTGCTTACAAACTCGCAAGAGATACAGAGAAAGCCATGACTCGACAACACAACCAGGTGACTAAAGAGCCTAGATGGACCTGCTGGAAAAAACCTCAAGAAAATACTTGGATCCTCAATACGGATGGCACGTGCAACCAAGCAACAGGATTCGCTACAGCAGGGGGCCTGATCAGAAATGCTAATGGGGAATGGGTCAGTGGATTTATGCTTCGCATCGGGAAAACTAGTAGCGTATTAGCAGAGTTATGGGGAGCTCGTCAAGGACTGTTACTGGCAAAATCCCTTGGAGCTGAGAACCTCATTCTCGAGATGGATGCCAAAAAGGTTGTAGATGCTTTGAGCGACGAGGACATGGAAGAACACCCATGCAATGTTTTGGTAAGAGACTGCAAAAACCTCTTAACGGTTTGCAACACCTGGGAAGCCAAACATATTCAAATAGAATGAAACAGATGCGCAGACAAACTCGCTCTCATGGCAAGAAATCAAACAGAAAACCTCGTTATCCTTCCGAACCCACCCTTAAAATTAACAGATTTGCCTGGCGCTGATGTTCTTGGAGAAGGAGCCTTAAGACTAGTTTTCTCTCTTTTCCTTTACGTTGCTTTGTACCCCCAAAAAAAACAATATTAAATTTGTATTGTTTAGACAGTAACTCAGTTCGGGTTAAATTGAATTGTAAAAGCCAACACACAGGTCCAGTTGAGATTGTCGGACCGGGTGGCCTATTGGGACCCAAGTATAGTGTCGGAGAAATGCGTTATTCTGGTTACCCGGTACGGCAGTAATAATGCCCTTAAATCCACAGATTTTATGGTCGTTTTATTCCCAATTAATATAGCCGACGGAATTGCCAACAATGATTAATAAAAGCTGTTACTATTAGATTTTTAGTTTAAGTATCTTTATAACGGCATTTTTCTCGAAAAATTACCGTCAATTGGTTTTTTTATCGATCAGACATCGTTCAAATAATATTTTTTGATGTAACATCTTTTGTAAAAAGACGTGTCCTTACAACGCGCTTTACGCTGATCTGGTACTACGTGGGATAAGGTGCGCCCCCTGCAACGCGCCTTATGCTGATCTGGTGCCACGTGGGTAAATGAGTTATAGCGCGGTGCAGGGGCCACGCCTTACCCCAAAATCTGCCACGCATCAAAAAGGCACGCCCCCTGCGCCGCGCCTTAGCTATAATTACCCACCTACCCCGACGTTTCACACCTTAATCTCTCCCTATAAATACACATATCCTCAATCACTTTCATCATACCAACTTCTCTCAAATACTATTTTAATTTCTGTCTAAGGTATATTTTATTATATTTTTAGTATTTTGTATTTAATTTATTTAATATTTAATTTAATTAATTTTTTTGCAGATATAAAGTGGAAGACAGTCTACTTCGCTTGGATGGAAATCATATATCTCGACACTTTGCTGATACGTTAACATTTTAACGTTTTAATTTAATTAAAATTATTAGTAATTATTTGTTGATTTATTTAATGCATGATTATTAGATTAAGAATTAATTTTTGTAATTATTTAATTTTAGGAGAATGACCGTGTATTAGATCCATTTATTAGGAATCTTAAGTTAGTGATACCTAGTCGTGTCTTGCCATATTTAGTAGAGGCTAGATTCGGTTACATAGGTAGATATCAGGGTCACTGTAAGATAGAACCAGACCTTATTTCTGCCTTAGTAGAGCGGTGGAGGCCGGAGACCCACACATTCCATCTTCCGTGCGGAGAGTGCATGATTATACTTGAGGATGTTGCTATGCACCTTGGGCTTCCGGTGGATGGAGATGTGATATCGAGGATCGCGCAGGGTTCCTGGACTGCTTTGTGTCGGGATAATCTAGGACGCTTCCCGAAAAGTTTTAACGGTGGTCGGATACCGTTAAATTGGTTAGATGCCAATTTTCGGGAGTTGAGCGAGGACGCGTCAGATGATGAAGTTAAAATGTATGCAAGGGCATGCATACTGCAGCTGATATGAGGGTTGTTGATGCCGAACAAATCGTGCAACCAAGTTCATTGTATGTGGTTGCGACATCTTGTCGACTTTCGTCTGGCCGAATCACTCAGTTGGGGCTCGGCAGTTTTGGTTTTATTGTACAGGGAGATGTGTCGTGCCACTGACTACAGGAGAAATGCTATCGGCGGATGTCTCCTCCTACTGTAGTCTTGGGCATGGTATCGATTGCCCTTTTTATGTCCCGTTGTGAAGAACTCATTCGTATTTCCGCTACTCTTGAGGTAATTATAAAACTGATTTCATATATTAATCATTTTATATAGCGTATAATAAATTTTTTTTCTTGAATAGGTGGTCTACTGATAGGAAAAATCATCAGGAGCTACCTGATGATTTAGAAAGAATTAGGGTGCTCATCGATCAAAAGGTTGGCACACATGTATGAATTTTAATGTTTAAAACTCAGATTTTAGATTATAGTTATATAATTAGATTATTATTTTGATAAAAATTATATATATTTGTTTTAGTTTGAATGGGTGTCATATTCTAATGATGATGTGAGGACGGTGATTCCACCTGAGTTGAGGGGCCCATCAGATGTTTAGATGGTGATAGTCCCTTTGATATATTATGCGACCGTCGAGTGGCACTCCACTGATCGCATGCTCCGGAAATTTGGTTGTTTTCAACCAATTTCGGAAGCACCTCGCAATATGGACGAGTTGCATAGCACAGATAGACGTGGCAAGATCGATATAGAATGGCTAGTGAGGCATCATGAGTGGGTCGTGTTGTGGGAGGATCAACATCGGCGCCTTTCCCGTAGAGAGCCCATTTTTACTGACCTCTTGATGGTTGCTGAGGGTTATTATGAGTGGTTCAACAGTAACGGGAAACCGTTTCTATTTCCTGAGGATGCACGAGGGCGGACCTTTTCACGACGTCGACAGAGACGTTCACTGACACAGTACCATCGTCCCCCGACTCGTGGACGTAGAGCAGGTGCTTCCGATTCATCCTCAGCTGCACCAACAGGACCTTCACAGAGTTATATGACCCCTCCTGGAGGCTATTATAGGTCTATGTTTGTAGATCTGACTTGGGGTTCATATGTTGGATATTTGGCGGGTTCAGCCTCATCACCCATGGCCGCAGCACATTCACCTCCTGTAAAGTTTTCACACTCAACGATGTCTGGGTTTTATGAGTTTTCCCAGTTTTCGCAGGCCTGTAGGATAGTCAGTAATACACCTCCAGGGTCCTTATTCTATGGAGGTGCTTCATCTTCATCAGCTCCTCATCAACAAAATTTAGCTGCTCAGGAAGACGACGACGACAATGACAATGATGGTGATGATGATGTCAGTAAGGAGTCACAACCAGTGATACGAAGAAATTCTCCTTGAGACCGACAGCCACCGCTCTGCGGAACACATTCGCGTCGCAGGCATCGATAGATTTTGTTTTTTTATTATATTTGTATTTAGTACTTTTTATTGTAGTTGTTTATTAGACTTTTTTATTATACTTTTTTTATTTATCATTTAATGCTTACTTTAATTCGTTAATATGGTTGAATTTATTTTAATTTTTTTTTTTATAAATGTTGAATACATTTTGATATTTCGATATAACAAATTAAGATAAATGAATTTTAAGATTTTCCAAAAGATTTTCTAAGTATATTCGATATAATTATTCGAATATCAAAATATTACTCCAAATCTTTCAAATGTCATTTTTAATCCTTACTCAAGTGTAAAATTAAGTTTTAATCTTAAAATAATTTCAAAATAATTTTACAAAGTATTTCGAACCATTTCAAAGCAAAAAATTACAGTATGTCCATAGGGAACCGATTCCCCCCCCCCAAGGGGATTCCGATTCCCCCTGAATGGTTTGGCTCTGAGAAAAAAAAAACAGAATGCTCGGAGGGAACCGATTCCCCTTGATCAACAGTCAAAATATTTGAATTTTACACTTAGGAAACTGATTCCCCCTGTT